CCTGACGTAGCTGCTCAAACTGCATGCGTCCCTCCTCCATGCGGATCTGTAGCACAAACTTCTCCAAGAAGAGAATAGAAAACCCATGCCATGAAAGTGGTGTTGCACCAACTGGCCTGCTCCTCTCATAGGCCTCCCACCATCTGAAGGCATCCCCTAATAACTGAAAAGTAGTAAAACAGACTCTACTAGTCTCTAGAATACCCACCGTGCGAAGAATCCGGTGGAACCTATCCAAGAAGTCTTGAGCATCCTCTGACTCAGCCCCACTAAATGATGGAGGCTAGAGTCTCCCAAATCTCTCTAGTCTCATCTGTTCCTCATAACTCATAACAGGAACCACCTGGGCCTGAGCAACTACAACCGGCTGGGCTGGTAGTACCCCTGGTGTTTAAAGTCCCTACACTACCTGCTCTGGGGTACGGGTGATGGGAGTCTGAGTACCTCCCCCGGCCTGAGAAGTGGTTGGTGCGGCCTAAATAGAAACCGCCTGAGCAAGGCTACTGCAAATAGTCAATATCTAGGTCAAAGCCTCCTGAAGGCCTGGAATCATAATAGGCACAGCTGGTGCGTGAGCTGGTCCCACCAGCTCAACCACATCTAGAACCCTGGCCTCTACCGCTACCTCGGCCTCTCGTGTCCCTAGCTGGTGGTACTGGTGGCCGTCCGCCTGATCCGGTAGCACGTGTCCTCACTATCTGTGAGAGAATAGAATAATAGAAGTTTAGTTCGCGGAAATAACAAATTCGCATGAAAAAAATACAAGAATGTGAAGTTTTCCTAAGGATTCGGCAGCTTCTCGAAGATAAGTACAGACGTCTCCGTACCGATCCACAAAACTCTACTAAACCTACTCATGACCCGTGAGACATATGTAACATAGGATCTGATACCAACTTGTTACGGCCCAAAACTCAACCTATCGTGATTGTGCCTATCATGATACTAGGCAAGCCAACATACTCATACATTCCAATACTTTCAAATTCAAAATATACCAAAACAGGTTTAAATAAGTGAAAATCTCATAAAGCTGGATGAAAAATGTCATAACCCAATACAGAATATCCCAAAACCCGGGTGTCATTGAGTACATGAGCATCTATATAATGACATAGTCTGATACACTGTCTAGAAAGTAGAACTGAGTAAATAAAACTGAAAGATAAGGGAAAGAAAGTCAAGGTATGCAGACACCAAGGTAGCTACCTGGATAATCTCTGAAACTGAACAATAGCTCCCACGTCAGCAACCACCGTACATAAAAGCACCTGAATTTGCACACGAAGTGCAGGGTGTAACGTGGGTACAACCAACTCAATAAGTAACAAGTCTAGCCATTGTGTTGAAAGCAACAACGAGCCTCACGGGTACAATTCAATTACAGAAAATACAGTACAGAAATGTAGACATGCTTTTAAGTTTAAACAGTAAAGCTCAAACAGATAAGATATGTCAAGTACAACTGAAATAAGAAAGCGATACGTCTCGATATCTATATATCAGTTATGTATGGCAACTAAAATACAAAACAGTGATGAAATCATATGCATACTCTCAGAGTATCAATCACTCAATCCTCCCATACACTTCATCCTTACGGTCACTCATTCCTCACAGTCATTCCATCCTCATAGTCACTCAATCCTTCCAATCACTCGGCACTCGCACTTAGTAGGTACATGTGCTCACTATGGGTGTGCAGACTCCGGAGGGGTGGATCTAGCCCAAGCGCTATAATAATCCAATCATGGCATGAATCAATAAAGCCTGCTGAAGAGTGCAGCCCGATCCCATAAATATCCTCACAATCAGGCCATCGACCTCACTCAATCACTAATCTCTCCAGTCTCTCCGGCTCACAACATCATGAAAATCAACCCAAACAATGATGATATGAAGTATCAATAAATGGCAACAGAGACTAAGATATGATATGCGGATGATAGATGTGACTGAGTACATAATTATAAATTAAGCAAGTAATTTAACAGTAATACGACCTCTGTGGGTCCCAAAAGTACCAGCATATATCCTAAGCATGATTTATAACATGAATCATAGTTCAACTTCTCTAACACATGGAGAAAATACGGATAACAACAAGGTTATTCAATTATATTGTTCCACGAAATCGAGCGAGTCACTATTCCTATGGTGCACGCCCACACGCCCGTCACCTAGCATGTGCGTCACCTCAACATCGACCACATAACACATAATTCACGGATTCATATCCTCAGAACCAAGTTTAGAAGTGTTACTTACCTCAAACCGTGCAAATCCTACTCCAACAAGCCCTTGCCTCGCGAAACGGCCTCGGGATGCCTACCACAAACAATTCGATACAATCAACTCAAGCTATAAGAATCAATTTCATATGAAAATGCTAAGTTCTACATCAAAAGTCAAAAAGTCAACTCAAAAGTCAACCACCGGGCCCACGTCCCAAAATTCGATAAAAGTTACAAAATCCAAAAGCCCATTCAACCACGAGTCCAACCATATCAAAATTACTCAAATCCAACACCAAAATCCCGGTCAAATCCCCAATTTTATCTCTCCAATCCCTAGCCTAAAACTCCCAAAATTCCACCTAAAAACACACACAAACTAGGTGGAAAATTCAACGGGGAAACAATATTATTGAATAGAAATGATCACAAGTGACCTCAAGAAACCCCTCGAAATCCCTCTCAAGAATCGCCTTAGTTTGAGCTTGAAATGTCTAAAATGAGTAAAAATCACGAAACCCTCGAATTAATACACACTGCCAGGCTTTTCGCTTCTGCGGATAATTTAACCGCACCTACGGTTCCGCTTTTTCAGATATTCCTCCGCCTCTGCAATCCAACGGCTCCAGACCACTTCCGCATCTCTGATCCACCTTGCGCATATGCGAGTCTGCATCTGCGGAACACCCTTCGCTCTTGCGCTTCCCACGCTTACTCCCAAACCTCGCACCTGCGGCCTTTTCTCCGCATCTGCAAACACGCAAGTGAGGACCAAATCATCGCATCTACGATCACTGCGCAACTCACCCAAATACGCTCCTATGATGCCTCTTCCCCTTCTGTGACCTCGCACCTACGAACAATTCTTCGCAGGTGCGAGTGCACCAGACCTGGTGCACTTCAGCAATCATTCGATTCCAAATTTCGATCCGATAACCATCCGAACTTCACCCGAGGCCCCCCGGGACCTCAATCAAATATACCAACAAGTCCTAAAATCTGATACGAACTTAGTCGGGGCCTCAAATCACATCAAACAACATCAAAAACACGATTTCACCTCAATTAAAGCATAACAACTAAAAAATTCCAACTTCAAATTGATGTCGAAACCTATCAAATCAAGTTCGATTGACCTTAAATTTTGCACACAAGTAATAAATGACACCACGGACATATTCCCATTTCCGGAACCATAATGCGATCCCGGTAACTACAAAGTCAACTCTTGGTCAACTTCTCAATTTCCAACTTTCCCATTTCAAGCCAAAATCAACTACGAACCCCCAAATCACTATCCGAACACACTCCTAAGTCCAAAATCACTCAACAGAGCTATCAAAACCATCAAAACTCCATTCCGGAGTCGTTTACACATAAGTCAACATCCGATCAACCTTTTCAACTTAAGTTTTTAACCTTGTGACTAAGTGTCTCAACTCATTCTGAAACATCCTCGGACCCAAACCAACTACCCCAAAAAGTCACATAACAAAAATTGAGAATAGAATTAGCAGTAAATGGGGGACATGGGCTACAACACTCAAAACGAACAACTGTGTCGTTACATATTTTGTGGATTCGCGGTTTCTTAGAGTATACAACTGCACCACTATTATCATAATAAAGCACAATTAATGCTTGAACCAAAAGAACTACATTAAGCTCTTTCAGAAAGTTCCAGAGCCAAAGAGCCTCTTTAGCTCCCTCAGAGGCAGCCACATATTCGGCTTCCATGGTGGAATCAGCAACACATGATGGCTTGATATTCCTCCAACTCATGGCTCCACCTCCTAAGGTAAAAACATATCCTAAGGTAGATTTTTTGGAATCTCTATCTAATGGGAAATCTCAATCAGAATAGCCAATGGGTGCAAGATCACCTGAGTGATAATAACATATAATCCCTAGTCCTTGTCAGGTACTTGATTATATGTTTAACGACAGTCCAATGTTCTCGTCCAGGATTATACTAAAATCTGCTAACCATGCCTAAAGCAAAGCAGATATCAGGTCTAGTGCATAACATAGCAAATATGAGACTCCCTACAACAGAAGCATAAGGGACCACCTTCATTTTCTCTATCCCATCGGTCGTTTTTTGGGATTGATTCTTTGACAGAGAATGCCTAAAAGAAAGAAAACCTTTCTTGGAATCTTGCATGCTAAACCTGGTGAGAATAGTATCAATATAAAGTGCTTGGGATAAGCCTAATATCCTTTGCTTGCGATCTCGCATAAGCTTGATCCCAAGGATATGTGCCGCTTGTCAGAAGTCCTTCATATCAAAACGCGAGGACAACCACTCTTTTACTGAATTCAACATGCTCACATTATTTCCTATGAGGAAGATATCATCTATGTACAAAACCAAAAATGCAACTTTATCTCCATCCCACTTCTTATAGACACAAGACTTATTTTCACATAATCAAAACAGAAAATTTTAATTGATGTATCAAAACAAGCATCCCATGCTTTAGAAGCCCGTTTTAATCCATAAATGGATTTCTTTAATGTACACAACATATGCTCATTGCCAATTTTTATGAAATCATATGGTTGTGCCATGTGGATGCACTCATCAAGGATTCCATTAAGGAAAGCCGTCTTGACATCCATTTGTCAAACCTCATAATCATAATGAGCATCAATGGATAAGAGAATCCTAATGGATTTAAGCATGGCTACAGGCGAAAATGTTTTCTCATAATCGATCTTTTATTTTTGAGTAAACACTTTTGCAACAAGCCTAGCTTTAAAAGTTTACACTTTTTCATCCACTCCTCTCTTTTTCTTATATATCCATCTACCGTCAATGGGTTTGACTCCAGTAGGTGGTTCTATAAGGTCTCGAACTTGATTTGAGTACATGGACTCTATTTCAGATTTCATAGAAACAACCCAGTTTTTAGCGTTTGTATCCTGTAGTGCTTCATCGTTAAGCTCTTCATGGATTCTATCATAAGATTCCCCCAAAAGCTCAAACCGAAGAGATCTTTTAATTATTCTCCCACTACGACTAGCCACTACAGGTACAATTTGATCTAGTTGTTGAACCGCAACATCATTTTTCGGAACGGAAGCCTCAATGTTATCCTCCATGCCTTGCGGTGCCAGGATATCATTAACTTCTTCCTCAAGTGCATGCTGCACAAAAATATTAGGTTGCTAAACATTACTCCCACTATTTGGGGTTGTGATATGTCAGATAATTGATCTTGTGCGTTCTGCTTCCTATTAATATTTCTCCCACTACGATAATGCAGTGGTATGTCAATACTGTCTTCCGGGATTCATTTTAGAGATGGGTCATTAGTTACTCCATTGCTTAATTCCTGTAAAACTAATTTACTTCTAGGAATATGGTTCATTAAATAGTCCTCTTCTAAAAATCTGACATTTTTTGCAACAATTACCTTCTTTTCTTTGGGAAAATAAAATAAACCTTCTTTCGTTCCCTTCGGATATCCAATGAAAATGCACACTTCTATCTTTGATTCCAGTTTATTCGCTTTCCTTATTAGCACATGTGATGGACAACCTCAAACCCGAATGTGTTGCAAACTGGGCTTGCGCCCAGTCCAAAATTTTGTTGGAGTTGAAGGTACTGACTTTGAAGGAACCAAATTCAAACTATAATTTGTTGTTTCTAAAGCATATCCCCAAAAAGGAAGAAGGCAAACCAGTGTCACGACCCAAGTTCTCCCTCCGTGAACTGTCGTGACGGCATCTAGTCTCTACGACTAGGTAAGCCTAATAAATTGCGAAAAAAGGAAATAAAATGTGAAACTGGCAAGTTATGATTTAAAGCATAATAAAAGAGTTTGAAATGCCGCTCGGCATATACAACACACACTCTCAAAACTAAAACAAAACTCCCAAAACCCGAAATCTCATGAAATCACAAGCTATAGAAACTACACAGTGTTCTAGCTCCAGAATGTCTAATCAAAAGTAAATACAGGAAGTCTAAAGCTAAGGGAAGAATAGAGAGGGACTTCTGGATCTGCGGACGCGGCAGATATACCTCGAAGTCTCTGATATCGCCCGCCTCACTAATAGAACGGTTGAGCAGAAGAACCTGGATCTGCACATGAAAAACATCCGCAGGAAAGGGCATGAGTACACCACAGCGGTACCCAGTAAGTGCCAAGCCTAACCTCGGTCGAGTAGTGACGAGGAAGGTCAGGGCCCTACTGGTTATATATGTGAAAACAAGGAAAACAGTATGAAATGTGACAGTATAACTAAAATACTAACAGTCGATAAGGAATAGAATCACAGAAGGAATATAACTCAGTACACAGAGATAGCAACAGGGGATCTCCCGGGATACCGTCCCGTAGTCCCAAACGTAAATGTCCAGTGGATCTCCCGGGATATCATCCTGTAGTCCAAATCATAATATGCAGGGGAATCTCCCGGAATATCAATCCATAGTCCCAAAGTAAATATCCAATACAAGGGGAATCTCCCGGGATGTCGTCCCGTGGTCCCAAATATAAATGTGCAGGGGGATCTCCCGGAATACCGATCCGTAGTCCCAAAGTAAACGTGCAAGGGGATCTCCCGGGATATCGTCCCGTAGTCCCAAAGTAAACACACGACAGTCTCAAGAAGAATATACAGTTCTATCCCAATTCGTACCAGGAAAATAGATATTTCTGTTCTAAACATGCTGCACAGAATTCAAGTAACAGTTTAAGCAGGTAGAACAATTAAGTCACTTAGGCATGCTTTCCTAAACTAAACAGTAGGCTTTTAATTGCAAGTAGTGTTCAACAAAAAAGAAACACAAATATTTACTTAATGAAAGCGGGGTTTTTCAACAATTAGCACGTGTATGCACTCGTCACCTCACGTACACGACATTCATATAACAACAATACCAAATCCTAAGGGGGAGTTCCCCCATACAAGGTTAGGCAAGCCACTTACCTCGAACCGGCTCAAAATCAATTTGAAATCACGCTCTTGCCACGAGTATCCAATTCCGAGTGGCCCAAATCTAATCAAATAAATTTCATAACATAAATACAACTACAAACAACTAATTTAGCTAAAGAAATCGAAACTAAGGTAATAAAATGGAAAGACGCCCAAAAATCCTCTACGGGACCACGTCTCGGAATCGGGTAAAAGTTACGGATTATGAACACCCATTCACTCACGAGCACACTCAAACAAAAATAATCAATATCCGATGCCAAAATCTCCCTCAAAACTCAAATTTTAAAGTGGGGAACGTTTCCTCAATTCTCCCAATTTTCACCCCAAATCCGAAATTAAATTACAAAACTAAGATTAGATTAATGGAATACAACTAGAAAGGGATAAGGAATCGTTACCCACTGATTTCCTCTTAAAAATCCTCTCAAAATCGCCTTCTCCCGAGCTAAAAATCAAATTTGGTGTTATGAGCTTCAAACCCTCGAAATTTTATATTTCTGCCCAGCGATTCTGCATCTGCGGCCATGGAACCGCACCTGCGGTCGCGCTTCTGCGGTTGGGGCCTCGCACCTGCGAGATTTCATTAAACGGGGAGAAACCGCACCTGCGCTCCTTTCTCCACAGATGCGGTCCGCTTCTGCGGTCCTATAACCGCATGTGCGGTCACTGGCCATCACTGCTCAAATAGCACCTGCGACCTACTTCCTCGCATCTGTGGGCCGCATTTGAAACTCACCCGAGGCCCCCGGGACCTCAACCAAACATACCGACCAATCCTAAAACATCATACGAACTTAGTCCAATCCTCAAATCACATCAAACAACGCTAAAACCACGATTCACCCTCCAATCCAAGCCTAATGAACTTGAAATCTTAAGAACTCTACATCCGATGACAAAACCAACCATACCAAGTTCGATTGACCCCAAAATTTGCACACAAGTCACACTCAACACTACGGAGCTATTCCAACTTTTGGAATCGGATTCCGACCCCGATATCAAAATCTCACTATCGATCCGGAAACTTCAAAAATTCAACTTTCGGCATTTCAAGCCTAAATAAGTTACGGACCTCCAAAACATAATCCGAACACGCCCTTAAGCCCGAAATCACTCAACGGAGCTAACGGAATCGACGGAATCCCATTCCGAGGCCGTCTTCACACTGTTTCGGCTATGGTCCAAATTCTAAAGCTTAAGCTCTCATTTAGGGACTAAGTGTCCCAAAACACTCCGAAACCCAAAACGAATCTTCTCGACAACTCACATATCCTGCTCGGTCTCCCACGTCGCCTCCTCGAACGGCTGACCCCGCCACTGAACCTTTACTGATGCAATGTTCTTCGATCTCAGCTTTCGAACCTGCCTGTCCAATATAGCCACTAGCTCCTCAACATAAGATAGATCCTTCTCCAGCTGGACTGACTGAAATCCAACACGTGCGACGGATCACCGTGATACTTCTGGAGCATCGAAACATGAAATACCGGATGAAGTCCTACCAAGCTGGGAGGTAAGGCAAGCTCATAAGCAACCTCCCCAACATGTCGCAATACCTCAAAAGGACCAATAAACCTCGGACTTAATTTCGCTTTCTTCCCAAATCTCATAACGCCCTTCATAAGCGAAACCCGAAGCAAGACCCGCTCTCCAACCATATAGGAAACATCACGAACCTTCCGGTCCGCATAGCTCTTCTGTCTGGACTGGGCTGTACGGAGTCCATCCTGAATCACCTTAACCTTCTCCAAGGCGTCCTGAACCAAGTCTGTGCCTAATAATCTAGCCTCGCCCGGCTCAAACCAACCCACCGGAGATCTACACCGCCTACCATACAAAACCTCATACGGTGCCATCTGAATGCTGGACTGATAACTGTTGTTCTAAGCAAACTCTGCCAGTGGCAAGAACTGATCCCAAGACCCTCCAAACTCCATCACACACGCACGGAGCATATCCTCAAGAATCTGAATAGTGCGCTCGGACTGTTCGTCCGTCTGGGGGTGAAATGCTGTGCTCAACTCCACCCAAGTACCCAACTCATGTTGTACGGCCCTCCAGAATCTTGATGTGAACTGAGTACCTCTATCTGAAATGATGGAAATCGGAATACCATGCAGACGAACAATCTCCCGAATATAAATCTCCGCCAACCGCTCTGAAGAATAGGTAGTACACACATAAATGAAGTGCGCGGACTTGGTTAGCCGATCCACAATCACCCAAATGGCATCAAACTTCCTCAAAGTCCGTGGGAGTCCAACTACGAAGTCCATGGTGATACGCTCCCACTTCCACTCCGGAATCTCTATCTGCTGAAGCAAACCACCCGGTCTGTGGTGCTCATACTTTACCTGCTGACAATTGAGGCACCCAGCTACAGACCCAACTATATCTTTCTTCATCCGCCTCCACCAATAGTGCTGCCTCAAATCCTAGTACATCTTTGCGGCACCTAGATGGATGGAATACCGCGAACTGTGGGCCTCCTCTAGAATCAACTCCCGAAACCCATCAACATTAGGTACACAAATCCGACCCTGCATCCTCAATACCCCGTCATCACCAATGGTCATATCTTTGGCATCACCATGCAGGACCTTGTCCTTGAGGACAAGAAAATAAGGGTCATCAAACTGACGCTCCCGGATACGATCAAACAAGGAAGACCTAGAAACCACACAAGCAAGGACCCGACTGGGCTCCGAAAGGTCCAATCTCACAAATGGTTGGCTAAGGCCTGAACATCCATCGCAACGGGCCTCTCTGCTGCTGGTAGATAAGCCAAACTCCCCAAACTCTCCTCCTGACGACTCAAAGCATCGGCCACCATATTGGCCTTGCCCAGGTGATACAAGATAGTGATATCATAGTCCTTCAACAGCTCTAACCACCTCCTTTGGCGCAAATTTAGGTCCTACTACTTGAACAGATGCTGCAAACTATGGTGATGAGTATAAATCTCACAGGGCACACCGTACAAATAATGACGCCAGATCTTCAACGCGTGAACAATAGCAGCTAGCTCGAGATCATGGACAGGGTAATTCTTCTCATGCGCCTTTAGCTGTCTGGACGCGTAGGCAATCACCTTACCGTCTTGCATCAATACCGCTCCAAGGACAATCCTCGAGGCATCACAATAGACAGTATAAGACCCCAAACCTGTAGGCAATACCAAAACTGGGGCTGTAGTCAAAGCTATCTTGAGCTTCTAAAAGCTCTCCTCACACTTTTTCGTCCACTGGAATGGAGCACCCTTCTGGGTCAGCCTGGTCATAGGTGCTGCAACAGATGAAAATCCCTCAACAAATCGACGGTAATAACGCGCCAGGCCAAGAAAACTGCGGATCTCTGTAGCTGAGGATGGTCTGGGCCAACTCTGCACTGCTTCCACTTTCTTCGAATCCACCTTGATCCCCTAACTCGATACTACGTGACCAAAGAATGCCACGGAATCCAACCAGAACTCACATTTTGAGAACTTTGCATAAAACTTCTTTTCCCTCAAAGTCTGAAGCACTGTCCTCAGGTGCTGCTCATGATCTTTCCGACTCCGAGAGTATACCAGAATGTCATCAATAATGACAATGATGAACGAGTTAAGATATGGCCGGAATACACTGTGCATCAAATGCATGAAGGCTGCTGGGGCATTTGTCAGCCCAAATGACATAACAAGGAACTCGTAATGACCATACCGAGTCCTAAAGGCAGTCTTCAGGATATCTGGCTCCCGAATCTTCAACTGATGATAACCTGAACGCAAGTCAATCTTAGAAAACACTCGTGCACCCTGTAACTGGTCAAACAGATCATCAATACGAGGCAAATGATACCGGTTCTTCACTGTAACTTTGTTCAACTGGTGATAATCAATGCGCATATGCATAGAACCATCCTTTTTCTTCACAAACAAGATAGGAACACCCCAAGGTGATACACTGGGCCAAATAAAACCCTTGTTAATGTTACACCCCAAGTTTTCATACGTGAGAGTACGTCGTAAGTCATTGATGTAAGCTCGAAAATGAGATTATATTTGGAAGCAAATAAAGTAAGTTAATCATGTTACCTTGGAGGTTACAAATATTTAAGATCATGAATAACAAGTACCAAAAGGGTTGGAAAGCTTAGTCACTAAACGAATTGAAGAAAATAGGTTTCGTCGAAAATCGACAAGTTTGGAATGTAATAACATATTCTTTTGGGGAGAGACTAGGGTGATTAACATGATGAGGAGGTTAAGTTATGAGTTATTGTATTCGTATGATAGTCGTGTATTATGTTTTGAAGTCAAGCGAGTTGTGGAACAAAAGTTGGAAAAAGGTCATCACAAGTTCCATTCATAAATGTGCTGAAAATTAGGTCAAATGTAACTGAGCTTTTCTCCCAATATACTTGGAATTAGAGATGATCTACATATCAAATTGAAGATCTACAAGTCTAGTTTCCAATGCATTAAACCGTTTGTCGATACGATATTGGAGTAGAGAGATATTTGCATTTTCGCGAGACAGCGCAGACTGGTAGGTGACAAGTAGGTGCATCACCTACTTGCCAAAATGAGAGGACTTAATTAAAAGCCCCAAAGTCGGCCAAGAGGGGTCTTTTAAGGGAATACAAATTGAGTTATTTCACCTGTATTTCAGACCAAGAAAACCTAATTGAACCCCTGCAACTCCTCCCCCAAATCCCACACAAACCCTAGGGTATTCCGGGTGTTAGACGCGATTCTAGTGCTGAAAAGTCCGGACAGCATGCTAGTTTCTCTTTCTCCTTCTTGTATCCGTGTTGAGGAACTTATTTTTGATGAAAAAGTACCAGGTTTCGTGGGTGATACTCAGTACAAGGTAAGTTTATGCTTCTCCTTCCATTATCTATGCGTTTGCGAGTTGTAACTCGATCGTAAAGAATAGACCTAGCTAGTTTCGGAAGAATGGTATGTTGTTTGATCTTGTGCAATGGTTGTCTGGTTGTGAACTTATTTTTAAGTTATATTCATGGCTGTTTTATTGTATAAGAGTTGTAATGATGTACTTTTGGTTGTATTTCTCAATTTGAAAGAAAAGACAAGTCGAAACGTGTTTAAGTAAACCGAAAAATTATGTTTGAGTTGATGAACTTGTGGGACTGTTTTTGGGCTGTTTCGTGTTGGTATTGGGTTGTCTCTTTTACTACTGTTTTGATGGAGTTGAAAGGAGGAAGGGTGTGGAGAAACACCACATANTTGTGTGTATTGTGTTCTTGCATGTGCTTAAGGTTATCTTGATGTTGATTAAGTTAAATGGATGGAGTAGACATGAACTAGTGAATAAAGCTACTAATTGAAGATAGTTGGAGTTGAGGATTGTTTCCTTTGTTATAAATATATGGTATAAGGATGGAATCATTGATGAATGACTTCATTATCATGTTAATGATAGTTTTAAATTAATGTAAGAAGTCTATAAGGGGTGATATGGGTTATACGGATTCCAATCGGAGCTTGCCGCTCGTCGTGAAGTAGTTGTGACTTGTTGTTGTGATATGGTGTCTTGTTATTGATATTTATAGGTTGCTGGAATTCCCTGGCTGTTGTTGTTGGTATATGGTATTGGAGGAGGCCCTTGATACAAGGGAGATGCTGCCCGAATTTACGTAGACGAGCTACTAGCTTAAGTTACAGACT